TATTTTGAATCCCTCTTGTGGGTAGGTAAAGGGTTAGATTTATAAAAAAAAACCAAATGATAGATAAAGACATGCATCTAAATAAAAAAAATATATACTGATTTGGTCAATTGTTTTAAATTANAAAAAAATATACTGATTTGGTCATTTTTGATAAAGTTATAACAGTTAACAAAGTTATAAGTTTTATACACTGGACTACAAGGAACTTCCATCAGAAACAAAAATATACTATTCTAAATCAACTTTTCGCGATGTTTTTAAATGTGCAATTAGACTTTTTCCATCACTTCTAAGTTTTAATATTATTAAAAAATAGTATTTACATATAAAAAAAAATAATTAAGAACAAAAAAAATTGTTTTAAATTAATACTGATTTGATATAATATTTAATATTAATTTGATTATTAATAAGTTAAAAATAAGGAAAATGACATATTTAACCTATTTTGTTAATCGTTTAAAGTTGATTGTTGTAAATGTTTATAATAAAAAAAAAAAATTTATTTTACCATAACTTTTAGCTCAATTGGTAAGTTTGACATTGACATAATTAAATAGAAAATTTTATGACAATTAAAAAAATTGTATCGTTAAGATCAATATGCAGTCAGAAAGTTTTATAATTACTATTTATTGTAAATTTATCAGAAAAGCTCAATATTTTTTTGCATTTTTATGGTAATAGATAACTTAAATAGAAGTAATAGTAATAATTTCCTAGGAACTTTTGTTGTTTGTTGAAAAGATTCTATAATTGAAATATTGAGAACTTAATTAATTTTAATGATTTACTTTAACTAAATGTACCAATCAAAACAAAGTTGTTAAAAAGATTTACTCAATTGAGTGTATTATAAAATTTGATTATATTTGTAAAAATCAATTGTTAATTCAGGAGAAAAAACAATCATTTTTTTTAGAAATGATTTATATAGCAACATGTTACAAAAAAAAATTGTAATATTATAGTCTAGTAGTAGCACACACAAATAGAGTAAAAAAATTATTAAATTACAAAGTAAAATGATTTAATTTTGTAGTTGAAACCTATCATATCAAACTTCATTCGTTAATAAATATTTTGAAAACATTAGAAATTAATGATTTTAATTGTCTTTATGGAGACGATGTAATAACTAACTGTTTAATTGATAAATTAGAATTTTTTTTTCAATTTTTGAGAGTAATATCTTCAACTAGATACGAATTGTAGTAATTTGACGTATTGTTGAAAAAAGTAGGTCAAGTTAGAGCAGAGAAAATAAATGATAGTCACAAAAAAATATCTTCTCGGCTTTGCATCGAAGCGAAAACTTAAAATATAGTAAAATAATTTTAATACGAATAAGAAATTTCTTCTTGCAAGGGGCGACTAAAGTGATGGGATCCTTGATCTTTATTGAAGTTATTGAATCTAAATGTGATAAAAATCAAACGAGTTAAAATTTATACTAACTTAAAAAGAATTAAGAAAAAATGCAAAAAATTCATTGCCATATGCGGGTTGGAACCTCGTACCCCAAGCGTGTAAAACATAAATTCTACCAACTCGGCAACCGTACGTCGATACTCTAAATTGAAAAATTGGCTATTTAAGCTAGTTCAAATTTCAAAGTTATTTTTCTCGACTTAAAAGAAACAAACATATTTAAATAAGTTTAACTATCTATACTTATTAATTTTTCATTTATATAATATTTATGAAAATCTGTACTCCCCTTGTCAGGTATTTTAAAATAAAATAAAATACAAAATCCCGAATTTTAACACAAAAATAGCATATTTTTTAATTCGGAAGTCATTTTTACCATGAAGACAAATCCAGATTTACAAAAAAAGCTTGCCAGATGAAAGGGGTATATAAATATTTATTATAAAAAAATAATAATATTGATCCATACATTTTTCCAAAAGTTATATAAAATATAAATTAAATAATATAACATATAAAATCGAGATTTTTTTCACGGAAATCGTACGTTTTTCTTTAACTTTGATGTCCGTTTTCACCACGAAGACAAGTCCAGAGGTCAAATTTTTTTTTTTCAAATTAAAGTATATTACATAAGCTTTAATTTAAGATATATATAAAAGTGTCAGTCTTTCCGGAACATTTTCAAAAGTTAAGTTGAAAAAGTTCTACTTTCTATACGCATTTTAAAAGGTTTGCACCCCCCCTGTATAAAGGGAAATGGTCCGATTTTAAAAAAAAGTATGTCGAATGAAAGAAGTATATATAAAGTATTTATCATTAAAGAATAAAGTTGATTCATGCATTTTTTAAAAAGTTATAGCAACATAATGTTAAAAAATGTAAAATATAATATCAAGTTTTCACGGAAATCGTACGTTCTTCTTTAACTTTGATGTCCGTTTTCACCACGAAGACAAGTCCAGAGGTCAAATTTTTTTCAAATTAATTAAAGTATATTACATAAGCTTTAATTTAAGATATATATAAAAGTGTCAGTCTTTCCGGAACATTTTCAAAAGTTAAGTTGAAAAAGTTCTACTTTCTATACGCATTTTAAAAGGTTTGCACCCCCCCTGTATAAAGGGAAATGGTCCGATTTTAAAAAAAAGTATGTCGAATGAAAGAAGTATATATAAAGTATTTATCATTAAAGAATAAAGTTGATTCATGCATTTTTTAAAAAGTTATAGCAACATAATGTTAAAAAATGTAAAATATAATATCAAGAATTTTTTCACAAAAATAGCATATTTTTGCATACGGTAGTCATTTTCACCATGAAGACAAGTCCAGAGGTCAAATTTTTTTTTTTCAAATTAAAGTATATTACATTAGCTTTAATTTAAGGTATATATAAAATTGTCAGTCTTTCCGGAACATTTTCAAAAGTTAAGTTGAAAAAGTTCTACTTTCTATACGCATTTTAAAAGGTTTGCACCCCCCCTGTATAAAGGGAAAAGGTCCGATTTAAAAAAACAGTATGTCGAATGAAAGAAGTATATATAAAGTATTTATCATNGTCGAATGAAAGAGGTATATATAAAGTATTTATTGTTAAAGAATGGAATTGATTCATGCATTTTTTAAAAAGTTATAGCATCATAATGTTAAAAAATGTAGAATATAATATCAAGAATTTTTTCAAAAAAATAGCATATTTTTGCATACGGTAGTCATTTTCACCATGAAGACAAGTCCAGAGGTCAAATTTTTTTTTTTCAAATTAAAGTATATTACATTAGCTTTAATTTAAGGTATATATAAAATTGTCAGTCTTTCCGGAACATTTTCAAAAGTTAAGGTTGAAAAAGTTAATTTTTTGTAAAAAAGTTACTATTTTGAAACCCTTCCTTTGGGCTGTTAAAGGGTCAAATGTTCACAAAAATATATAAAATGATAGGTAATTATCTAAGGTATCTAAAAAAAAAAAAATTATATTGATTCGGTCATTTTTAAAAAAGTTATGGCAATTTTAAGTAAAAAAAATTGAAAAAATATCGAAAATTAGCGATTTTTAAATTTGTAATTTTTTGGGGGATTTCCCCCGTTTGCGGGGAACGAGGGAATTTTTTTCAATTTTTGAGGGTAATGTCTTCGACTAGATACGATTTGTGATCTTTTGACATATTGTTCATTAAAATCGGTCCAGCGAGAGCTGAGATTGAACGTTCACAGATACAAAAAAAAAAATTAAAAAAAAAACACATCATAGTAAAATTAATACCTTCTCAGCTTCGCATCGAAGCTAAAAGATTATCGCGCATCACGATAGGCTGTAACGTTTGACCATCACGGACAGATTCTATTGTTTTATTAGGTTATACGGTCAAAATTCATACGACTGGGAAATGATTAATGATAAAAATAGCAGTACCTACTCCTCGCATCCAGTAATTGCTTTAAATTGCTAATTACCTCTGTAATACTAGCACAAAAATTATTATCGACCAGTTATCTTATTAAATTATTTTCTATTTTAAAAGTCAGATAAAATATGTATGTTGCCATTTAAAATAATGAAGTGACAACCTTTTAAGTTATAGGGGTTAATTCTAAAATGTAATTATTAGCTGATAAATCAAAAATTATATGTAACTAAATAATAAACCGATTATTCTGTATATCCATTTTTAATAAATAATAACAGTAAGTAATAAAGTATATTTTATATTATAATCTAGCACTGTATTTTCTAAAATTAAAGTAATTTTATTTAAAATAATTAAATAATTTTGATTGTGCATAAAAATAATTTAAGGAACCACAATATATTCAATTTTTATACGATATCTTCATAACGTCAAAACAAAAATTTACATAAGTTGTTTCAGTTATCATAAGTTCATTATACCTTTCGTGGCAATAGAATAAAAAAAATTGAAAAATAATAAATTAAATTAATTTTAATTGAAAATATAATTTATAAGTGTATATTTTTATTGTATTCCAATACAAATCTAATATTCTATCAATTAACTCTGGAAGAAGTTTTAATTTATCCGCGTGTACTCGTAACACGCACTGTTTTTTTTTTTATAAGTGATAATAGAAGAGTAAAATATTAATTACATTTTGAAAATATGAAGTTATAAATTCTAGTATCTATGATACTGACTTCACACTAAATATTTCTTAAAAAAGTATTATAAATCCTAACAATAGGCATAATCAATTAAAGTCAAAACAAAAACTAAATTAAGACAATTTTTATATTGTTAAATCATATTTTTTAAAAAGTTTTTTTTAGCTCATCAATATTCTGATAAAGATGCTGGAGACAACTTTTGCAGTTGTTTGAATAAAATTTTATTCTTTACAAAAAAATTCACTCATTACTTTACTACTAGATAAAGAAATAATACAAAGAACTTGAAGTTTTATTGGTAGAATTATGACATTGATGATAGCTCTGTTTCTCCACATAATATTTCACTCATGATGATATAAAATTATGTTATCATTTAGTTTATCATTACAATAAGCTATTCATTTGATATTTATTAGAAAACAATTCTTTAATTTGTTAAGTGTAATGTTGTCTAAATCTGTCAGAGTAAATAACTACGTAGCTGTAGACACTCTAGATACAAATATACCACATCTAATTTATTATAAGAATGGTTGAAAATATTTGCCATTGGAAAAAAATAAATGTCTATAAATTTATATCTTTTGTATTACTGATAGTCTAAAAATCATGACTAAGATTCTCTTAAATCAGTAAATGTGATACAGCAAGAGCAATGATTGACGGATATGGGCACTAACATTTTATTTGATTTTAAATACATTATCTATCTAGCTCTATATCGAAGATAAAAATAAAACAATTATCAATATACTTTATATTAATGCATATACATTAATAGCACCTATAAACTAAACAACAAATAAAAAATAAAAACATTAATTTTTGCATAATTATCTAAAAATAATATTAAAATTAAGACATATACTAATATCTAACAAGTTATATTATTCAAAGTTTTTATGACTATTAAAGTATTTAAACCTATTTTAAGTTCAGTATCTATATATAAAACAGTCATTTACATAAACATTTAAATATATTTTCAAAACAATTAAATATTATTATTTATAAAAAATACTGAAAACAATTATATTCTATATCTAATGATTTAAATACTTGATACTTAAAAATAAATTTCTTATACTTAACTTCAAATAAAATACAAAATTTCAATATAACTTAATATGTATACATTAATATATACATACATGTTTTGAACAATTATTCACAAGTTATTTACTTGATACTCAAAAGTACAATTTTATATTAGGAGATCATAATAATTTTAAGATATTATTTTGATCTGTAAAGTATTGTACAATAATTGCTTTTAAAAAATAATAATTAATAAATTTAACAGCTGTCAATAATTGTCACAAATGGATGATTATTGAATATTTTAAGTTTCCGTTTGAATTTAAAAGAAAAATATTTTTATAATAAAACTAACATCCTTCACTGGGTATTTAAATAAAATAATTCAACCGGAATGGTGTTACTTTTGAATTTGTGTCGATCTTATAGATGGACACTCAATGATAATATTTTTAATTTGTTAAGGTATACTTTGACTATTTTTGGTAGTATCACAAATATTTTTTGTTCCTTCATTAGAAGCAGGTGGAGAGGACTGTACATTTGGTTTGGTATCTGTAATATAACACTGTTTTTGGCCACTCCAAAGATCCCTCAATTTTAAACAAATGGGATGTAATAGATCATCATTACTTCTTTCCTCTTTTCCCCATAAATCTGAAATAAAAATTGATTGATATTAATTTATGATTATTAAAATTACTTATTAATAAATAACTTATTACATAATGTGTTATAAATTTATAATAATATTATTACTATCGATAGATTTCAAAATATATTTTCAATAAATCTGACGAAATTGTGTTTTTGATTTTTATATTAAATTAATAGAGAATCTGTTAATAACTTAAGCTTTACTCTCATATTCAATAAATAAAATTATTTAACATTTTAGTACTGAGTAGTACGTTTTATGACAAAGCCATTTGTTTTTTTAGGCAGTGGCCGCTGTACCTTATATTCAACACGAAGTGAAATAAAATTAAATATTATTCGTTAATAGAAATTATGAGGATTACTAATTTTGCAATGAAAAGTCATTTAAAAAAATTGTGTCATGTGCCGAAGGATTTTTTACATTTACTTATATTATATAAAATATGTGCTTATCTTTATTAAAATTAAAATTTATTTAAAGATATTACGTCAAGAGGATAGTATGTCAATAAGAGTTACTTTATTACGATGTTATCTATGAATGAATAGTCTACGACAATAGTTTTCCGATTGTTGCGAATTTAATTTTGTAATAATCGACAGTGGATAACATTAACTGGTATGAGACGCTACTATTTTGTTTAAATTAAATACTCCATTTTTTGTAATGATGAATTACGAATTACGAATTTGGTATGTAAATAATAACGTATTATGCTGTTTTAAAAAATGTATAGTATTAAGACTGACGCTGAATGTTTTCCATAGTGTTTTTTTTTTTTAATAAGAGGATATAAAGAACAAAAATAAGTTAACAATTAAATAGTAAGTTATTTTTTTTCTTGTTGTATTTAAGGAATTTGGTCCAACAGGTCAACGTCCAGGTCATGTTACAATTAAGTTTAATGATTTATGCATGAAAAATAAAATTATGATACTAAAAACGTATATTGGAAGCGTTGTATTAGCTTTTTGTTAACAAGATAAGATAAGCAAATACTACATTGAGATATCACTGACACGATTAGAACACTTATGCTTCATGAAAGTTTCTTTTAAAAACCAATGTTAAATCATTAAATTCGTGAATCACTTTCAGTTTATTCATTGCATGTTTTGTAAGTATTTTTACAACACTAATTTTTTATTATTTCTTGTTAGTTTGAATTTAAAATTTTTTTGCAAAATTCTTAAACTATTTAAGATAAAATTAATTTCTATAAGACTATTATTTGTATAAAAAATATCACACCAGAAAATGAAAAATTTGATTGCTTGAATGAAATTAAGGTTATACAAATGCATATATTATTAACTATTTTATAATTGATAAAAATGTATTTATGCAAGTTTAAATATTTCAAAAATACAAACATTTAATTAATATCAGATTATTTCATACGAAATCATGTATTATTTCTATAGACTATTTAGCTATCAAACATATAAAATCGAAAAGATGTTTTTTCCGATAGATATTATAAAATTGACCTTGTATCAAGAGAAAAAAGTAAAATTGTTTGTCAGAAATTTTTTTAATAATTAATAATACTATGTATTTCTAACAGTAGAAAGAAATTTATGATCGATAGAAATATAAAAATGTAAAAATAAAATGATTTATTTACGATTAATCTTTTTCCAACATATTCTCAAGAGTTTTTCTAAATAACTTCAATTTTAATAAATATCATTTTATTGTTTGAGTGCTAAATCATTAAATTTAAAAGTTTTTAAATTAGTCTAACGTATAGTAAATTTTAGAAAAAATATAAGAGACGAATTAGAGGCACAAAAACATTAAGGTAAATTTTTAATTAAACTATTCATTTAATATAAGAATAATTTACGATACTTAATAACTATAGAAAATTCCTGTGATATAGAAATTTGTATTAAATTATAATTAAACATGATATATACACAGACACAACTAAAACAAAATTGTTGAGATAGTTAATTGAATTTTTTCCACTCTAAAAAAATTCGTGGTAGGAATCATATTAAATATGTTTACAGGTATTTCTATTTCACTGTTTGTTAAATGGAGGGAGATATTTAAACCAGCTAATTTCATTTTAATTAATTAATAATGAGACTGCATTATTTAATCATCATTTTTATTATAATATAAATTTAGAATGGAATATAGATTATTAAATTTATGTAAATTCTAATGGATATTTTTTTTATATACTTTTATCAGTTAATAGTTTTTAATTTTCTTTTATTTAATATTAATAAATATAATTCTAGAATTTAGAAACGGATAATGAAAATAAAATATATAACATTGAAAGTCATTAAATTGTTTTTTTAAATTTAAATCAACTGAAGATCACGAAATATTAAATTATTCCAGAGACATACGGTAATAAATAAGTAAGTAATTTGTTTGTCTATTAATTATGACTTAGATATATTTTTAGGTTATGTCATGTAATACCGACAAGATATACATCCAAGCTAATATTAAACAATTAGTAAAATTTGCTTAACCATGTATAGAAAAATAAATTTATTCCGATAATAATCTAAAAAAATGTATCCAATAAACACAAATTAAACAACGAAAAGTAGAACTTTAGCTGTATTTCAAACCATTTAAAAATAATTCCATTTATCTTTTAACTATTGTTAATAGAAAAATATAAAAAATAAAGTATTTATAGAAGTTAATTTTAAAAGAAAAAAGAATTGTTAAAGGACAATTTTTAAAAACGTTAAAAAAGTTTAAGATTCATAATTAATTGAGCTATTGTTTGAAGAAAAATGATTTTACATGAAGTACTAATTTAATAATATTGATTGTATTGCAACGTATTACACACCAGTAATTAGCATGAGATTAACAATGAAAAATATTTATCTTATCAAAAGTCAAGATTTATGTACTCAGGTAAGCAGTTAAAATGGTAGTAATAAATTAATACCATTTAAAATAATTCAATTTTACAATTTATCACATTAAAAAGATGTATATATTATTTATAATGCATGAAATATAATAAAATGTTTGTATGTGTTTTTTTCACTGCCACAATAAATTTAAAGAAATAAACGTGCATATTATTAACCAGTAAAACAACTATAAGATAAAATTAAATAGCATGTTATTTCTAGAAACTTCAAGAATACCTATTTGTATTACAGAATGTTCAATAACATTTAAATGAAATAAAAAATTTTTTGTCAAACTTAATATTTTATCCATTACACATAAGAATGAAATAAATTTGTACTTGAGGTATTATTCATCAGTGAGTAATATAAAAGATAATTTTTGAAATAATCTTTTAGAATTCATAATTAAACTAAAAAAAATTGTAGAACTGAATAATTATAGTAACTTTATTGTAGTGAAACTATACTTTCTTTTTTATTATGCTGAACACGTTCCTCATTAAATAATTTTCTTATTTTTAATTAAAAAGAAATGTTTATGGTTTTTGAATCATGACAAAGGCAATAGACAAAATACTAACAAAAAATAGGTAAATATGAGAGCCGAATAAATTATTTAAAAGACTGTGCAATGATTGCCTAAAATACCAAAACATATAAATTGAGATATAACAGTTTTATTCATCATCATCTCCTTAGTCTCTATCCTAACTAATTGGGATCGGATTACCTTACGATTTGACAGGATTTTTTACACTGACTATCGACCTGACACAACCTTATCATCATGGCTGAATGAGCCAACAGTAAGGTGGCAAGTTGTGTGTTATGTCAACGATCACGTATGGTAATCCATCCGGCAAACAACAGCAAACAGCACCGCTGAACATCAGCGTTAAGGAGACGACTAAAAGATCCACTGCGCCACACCACGCCCTTAATAACAGTCTTATAAAATAATTAAAAATATCTTAATGTAACACTGAGAAATACTGAGGTTTTTGCATTGATACATTTCATGTTTTACGATAATGCAACTAATGTTTATTAACTAACTCTAAAAGAACCATTGGATTAATATCCTTTAGGGCATTGTAAATTATTAATTGCAAATTATTTGATTAATTTGTTTTTAAAAATTGTATTAGTATATTTCAAAAAAAGTTAAAAATATTACGTCCATTTATTGTTTTGTAGCGTAGCCACTATTGTGTTCAGTCCCTCATGTATGGAATATAAACATAGTATATTTTGCAAATTATTAGTATCAAAATTAACTATTCGAAATTTAACGATGTAAGTAATAAAACATTGCAAAGTTAAATTTCCTTAATACAATAAAAATTCTTTTTGAAGCTAAGGTAAAAACACCCAGTACTGTCGGGTCCTGGTATTGTGGAAATCGGTATAGATTGTATGAAATTTGACAATAAAATCATTTATTATAAAACGAAAGTGTTTGAACTGAGTTCGACATTTTTTGTTCGTAAAAATACTAATAATATATAATTTGAATAGGTAAATAAAAATAATTATTACACCATTGACCATAGGTGTATCTAGAACAAACATTATTTTTGAGGGAAGAGGACTGGGTTATTAAATGAATAAAAATATAGAAAGTTTAAAAAATATTCACTAACTTATAGTAGTATTTTCTCTAAAAATTTTTTTACAACACACAACATAACTTCCCTTGAGATTTTTGGGATGCTAATTTTGAAAAATTAGGAAAGATGAAAAGAGTACACTTAAGATGCTTCTAAAAACATTTTGCTTTTATTTATACATTTTTGATGTAATCCATTCCTCTTTTTACAAGATGAAATTTTTTTAGTTTTTAAAAATAACGTCAATAATTTGATATGTAATCGACTGTAATCTTTGAAGTATCATTGATTAAAATCAGTCTAATAATAACTAAGATTATAGGTCGATAGACACACACACAAAAAATAAAAATAAACACATCATAGTAAACTAATACCTTCTCAGCTTCATATCAAAGCTAAAATAGTACTTTTTATTTTCAAACGATAGATGAATAAAATATAATCTTCAACATAATTATTTAATTCTCCTCTAATGTAAGAACAATTTTTCTTCCCTAGAGGTTTCAAGGTCTAAAATATTGTGTCCTCTAACACAAAATGTATACTCTAAAAATTAAAATTTAATATTTAAAAATTAAAATAGTGAGTAGCTTACTAATTCTTATAATGAGTATTTAGTTTTAACTGTAGGAATAGATATTGTTAAATTTTAGACGTGGGCAACTTTAATTATTTATGCTCATACATTTTTTGAGTATTCTAAAATTAAGTAAAAAAACTACTTTGAATTTATTACCTTCTTTCTGAGTAAGTACAAAAGGAGCTAAAGGAGTTCTATGCAATTATTTCAAAAATGGCATATTTTCAAAAAAAAATGCGTATTACCCTAATATTAAAGTTAGAAAGCTTTCAGTATTTCAAGTTAATTAAAAAGAAATTAACTTTCTTTATAACAATTGAAAATATAAAAATCTGTTTTTAACAAACGCATGTATATGCATATATACATATATATATATATATAATAATTTATTTATATTTACTTAATTATATTTTATTTTATATTTATTTGTACATAATTAGGGCTTTTATTTTATTTTATGATAAAACCTTTGTTAAAAGAAAGTGGAAAACAAATTCAATTTTTATTTGTGCTATAGGTATACTATATAAGTATACGTACAATTAAAATTTTTTTAAAAATAATATTCGAAATTATAAGAAAACGTTCAATCTTCTTGGATTTAATATGATAAATTAATTGCCTACAAGAACGCCTTTAAATTGTTTTGATCATTGATATTTTTTTAATTTTAATTTATAGCCGAATAAATTAAACATGCAATTAAATTTATTTTTTGTTAAAAAAATATGCTTTATAAGAGATTGGAATTAAAAAAATAATGTACTATACATTTTTTTTTCATTAAGTTTTGATATTTTAATAGAATATTTAAAATTATTTCTGTACTTTTATTTTGTAATTAAATGTTACCTTTTCAAGTATTTTAATTTAATATTTATGTTTATTTTTATTAGTTTAGTAGAAATAATTTAATGGAGTAAATTTATAAATTAAATACGCTACTTTAATAATGATTATGAGTATTCTAATTTGTACATTCGAGATGTGGTTGTGATTTATATTTAGTGCATGTTGCTTCAAAATATTTGGCAAACACTTTAATTACATTCAGTACTCAACATAATGTTGAGCACCGTCCAAACTTTCAATTACGACACATACCATTTTCATCCAAACGTGCAATAACGATTAGTGCCTAACGTGTCAATAATTAAATGACCATCATGATATGATGGAAAGGTAACCTTTGATACAACACATAGTGACTTTTAAAGTCACTATGTGTAAATCACAACAAAAAAAAAGATATTTTATTTCATAATATCACATAAGTAAAGGCAATGGAATAAATGCATAAAAATTTAAATTAACGAAGAATACCCAATTCCACAAACAAAACTACAGTATTAGTTCATAATTAGATGGGTGATAAGGCGATACATCATGTAAATAACCTGAAATTATAAATTTTCAAACCGGTAATATCATTTTGTTTCAAATCGACTTAAAGCATATATGTCAAACCACATGTACACACACATAAAAAACAAATTTAAATGATCTACATCGATAAAGTCAATACAAAACGCATTTTAAAATGAACTTTTATATAATACGACCCTGCTAGTATAAACAAACAGTTTAGACAATATTACACTTTCTGTAGTACTCTAACCATAAATTATTAATTTAAAACAATTAATCAACATAATTTTCATATAATATAATTAGTTTCAGATCACATTATTTCATAAATGAAAAATTTAATAACCTTATCCATTAACGACACTTATTAAATTATGTTATTAGGTATTAAAAAGAAAAAAATAACATGTTAAGTCACAAAACAAAAGAATAATTTTTTAAGGATATAACACAATACCTAAGGTTAGAAGTATAACAAATATTTACATTTTTCTATTAAAGCATTAATTAATTCTGATATAATTATTATTGAATGTAGATTTACCTGTCACATAGCTGACTACAACTCCAACGAAAACAGTGACGAATGTGCCAATCAAGGAATAGTACATATAGGTTACTGAATACAAAGAAGATAAGATGTTTCTGAAATAATTGATTATAATAAAATATTAGCCAACTAAGTACTATAAATTTCATGGATGATAATAAAAATAAACAAACTATGTACATTATTATGCACTAAAAATAATTTTACAACATAAATATATATGCATATATATATATATATTATTTTCATTTTATATATAAATATAAATTGATCTAAAGATTTATGTTGTTGCAGAAAAATACCCAAAAAGTGTCAAACAATTTTTCATAAATATGTAGAAATTGTCAGCTTACAATGTAAATTCATAAATTAATATAAATAGTTAGTTTTGTTTTATTTTCTTAATTAGAACCTTTACTTATTAGTAAAATAAAGTACTTATTGTGTATTATTTTGGATGGATAAATTACGTAATTATGCGGTCATTAGATAATTTATCAATTAGTAAGCCCTAGTTATATTATTAGTCTCAATTATAAAAATTAAATTTCTTCGTTAATTTATGATATTATATAAATTATGTTTGAAAATATCTTATGTCACTATAGTATAAAAGGGACTGTAAATTTATTTTATTTCAAAAATGAGTTCTATATAGAACCAACTTTTAGAAAATAAATAATAAAAAATAATTTCGCTAAATAAAAGCAAATACATCGGAAAACAAGTTTGGAATTTACGTTTGTGACTAATTAATAGTTGATGTGTCAAATTTATTAAATGGTAGTTAAATTATTCTCTATGTACAAGGTTTTAAATGAGTAAGAAATAAGTTTATAAATAATGAAAATTCTTATTATCACTTTTAAACACTCAGTATATACCATCAATACTCTCAAAATACTTTAATACTTTAACAATTTCACTTACTCATGGAAAGCTGGTTCAACGACTGGTTCAGTTTGAAGAGTACTACTCACAAAATCCATATCAGTTATGTTTCTAAAACTCATTTTGTACAGCTGATATTGTTCACTAAATGCTGGTTCAATATGCGACGAGAAAGTCATATTGGTACATCCATCAATGTGTGTAGGTTTGTATACAACATTTTTTGGTATGGTAAATGCACCACACACTATTAACAATGTAGTCAAATGGCTGGCTATCATACCAGTTGCTGCACCCTGTGAAGTATAAAGTATTATGAGGATATTTTTTTTTATAATTTTCCTCTGAACTTATAAGATAATAAGAAGACTAAAAAAAAAATTCAAATTGATTCAGATTATTTACCTAAAATATATTACAAAACGTATTATATTCTATTCGATAAATTACAGTATATATTAAAGCTAAAAATGTTAATAGTTGTGAAAATTGTGAACAGTAAAATAGAACGTGTCGTATAAAAAAAAAAAAGTTTTCAGATGGTAAATTGAAAATTCATGGCCATATCAATTTTTCATCAAAATGAATTGAACTAGCATTATCCTCTTTAAAAGTCATTTTCTTAAGAATATAAAATTACTCTATTTATCCAAGGTCATCACGTCAAGGTTATCATAAATGAGTTTTAAAAAAATGATAGTTATCAAGTTCCAAATCATTTTGATGAACTTTTTAAGTAGCAAGTCAAAAAAATATTGAATTATACTTCCCACACATTTCCCCCATTATTAAATGCTTTATAAACAATATTCAATGTGAATATTTTTTGTTTTTCATATTTAAGCAAAAATAATTTAACCCTATAATTTTATACAATATTTAGTTCTTAGTGAGCAAATAATTACTGTGCGTTATACTCAATTTTTAATTGAAGTAAAAGTAAAATTATAAATTAATTTAACACGCTTTGTAAACTTAATTATATATAATTTGATTACTTTGCTAAATTTCAACATATATAACGATGTGATGATATGCTGTTTTTATCTCGTTATCATAATTTTATAAAAAATAAGAACTACTGTTATCCAAAAATTAAATATTTCAGAAACGTATTCGTGTACATTTTTTTATTACAAAAAAAAAATATTTATAATACCTTCCAGTTAGTAGACGGGAAGAACATAGCTAAAATAAAAACTCCCAGAAGAGGACCGCTTGTTGCTGAAGTCATCAATTGTGACGCATCTATTACTCCTGAAGACTGAGCTACTAAGAACGCAATACCCATTACACACAAACCACAAATACAACCTAAACAAATTACAAAACTATTAAAGTCGCATATTTTGACGTTGTCGAACATTGCTTTCCAATTTTGGAAAACGGCGTTCTTAATACATTTTATTAAGTTCCGATTTCATATTAAATTATATTTTCCAAGAAACTAAAATAAGTCATTAATAAATTAATGATATTCCTTATACTCCATTTCATTTTGGTTGTATTAGCAATAAAAAATAATAACTACTTTACTTAGTAAACTATTATTTATTAAAATTATTTGATTTATTTTATGACTTTTAATACACAAATACATCGAGAAAAATTGCAAGAAAAAAAAAGGAATATAGAAAAACTAATTAAGTATTGAATTTTTAATTCACCTGAATTCTAAATAGATTTTCGATTACTCACTTAAATAAAAAATATTTTATAATACGGAAAAGTTAATCATATATTTTAACATTAAATTACTGTATTACTAATATACATCAATTCTTCCATAGTTATTCGATTCCCTTTTTATACCAAAGAATCGAAATCTAGCTCAATATATGACTAATTAAAATTATTAAAAAATTAACTATTAATTTGAAAACTACAACGTGAATTATATGGTAATTGTTCAAATTTTATGACAGTAACATCCAACTGCATAAACATATTAAAAGCGCACTATGCATGTATTTTATAATATTGTAAATATAAATTTCTATAAATTTTAGCTTATCACCAACAAACATAAGTAATATGAACTATGGTTAACTTATAATATACTCTACTAAACCATAAAGAATATCTAATGGTAATTGTTATGAGAGATGTGCGACGTGACATAGCACATTAACAATAATAACTGAATCATTAAAAAAACGAAAAAAAAATAACTAATCATTCTTTAAGTTTATTTAGATTAAGTTTTTACTCACTTTGAGAAATTGTCTGAAGTGTTTTAAAGGAGACAGAGATTTCTCCTTGGTAAATAATAATTTGTATCTTTTTAATTTGTTAGGGATTTATTTTAAGTTGTTATTACAAAATTAGATAGCAAATTTGTACCAGCCAATGACAGTTATAACAATAACCTGGTTTTATAAATTTCTATAATTGGTTTTAAATTTGATTTTTTTACAACATAATAAATAAAAAACGACAATTTTCCTATGTGTATATAATTGTATTTTGCATTTGCTATCTGAAATGGCCTTGACAATTGACTTAAATTGTTCATCTGATTTTCCGCTTCTTCAATCAATTTTTCGTCTCATCATGATTATTATATTCAATTTTAACGTTTAATGTCAAATATGACAGTCACGGTCAAATTAAAATTTTAACTATCAGACGATTACGTAGGTGTACAATTAAATTGGTAAATTCACTTACTAATAGCTTTAATACACCATAGTTGTTTTGTTTCACTGATTCGTTTGAAAATGGGTATTTGTGATACGAAATCTTCCCATGCAACGGTCGAGACAGAGTTTAAGTTTGATACGAAAATACTGCAAAATGAAATCGATAATTAATCGTTTGGAAACAATTCAGATAATCTGTTGTTATGGAATTTCACCTGAGGCCACTGTTGAATAAACTGGCTAACACGAGACCCATAAATCCTGGAACGAAATAAAATTTGTCGCGTACATAGAAAGCTACTATTTCATCGATTTCTGTTATGTATCCCAACATACGCGGATCACAGTCAGCATACACCGTAAATATGACCATTCCCACAATCCACGAAAGACTGAACAGCACAACCATCAACGGAATTGTCAACCACAAGGCCCTAGGCAAACGTTATGAATTTGGAGATATGACCTAGCCAAACATAAACATATACGGCTGCCGATTTGAATCGATATGTAAAATTCAAAAAAAAGGGGAAAAAAGGAAAAATTATATTGACTTGATTTCAATTTACTTTTCCACTTGTTTCATCGATTCCATACTGAAGTATCGTTGGACAAAATTTTGTTGGCATCCAAACATGGACAATGACATGAACAATTGCCCCAAAGTAGCTGACACGGTAGTTACGCGCAACGATGGATCCATGTCGAGGCTGTAATATAGTAAAATTTAGATAAAAAAATACCATAAATTTTACACTACAAGAAATAAAGAATCAGATACTTACTTGAAAAAATCGAGTCGATCCCGATCCCTATTTACTTCAAAGATGTTAATTGGTCCCTTTGCAATGAAAAATCCATGTAATATTATAATGACACTACATCCAATCATAACTAAACTCTGTACGGCATCAGCAATAATGGCTGATCTCAATCCACCCTGGTAAAAAATAGTTGCAGTTGGCAAATTAGAAATTGATATTCATAATATTGACGTTGTGTAATTTTAATATGATAATAAATTAAATATGTATAATTATGTTTAACTTAACATATAATAATTTTTACATTAACTACTAAAGTGTATAGAAAGCATGCATTTTAAAAATAAAGTATAAATTAGTAAAGTTCACATTGTATTCTATGAACAATTTGACAACCAACATTGTTTTTTACGTATAAAAATCAAAATATACTAAGTATGAATAAATGCTAACCAGTAAAGTGAATATTATTGCAATTAACGATATCGACGAAATAGTAAACCAATATGGCAAACCCATCACAGTCTTTAAGGCGACGCAAGGTGTAAAAACAGTAACGCCAAGATTCAGTAAACTCCTAATAACATAAGTTCCACAAGCAAGTCTCCTCACTAGTCTTGATTTAAATCTCATGTCTAAATACTGCGTACAAATAAAACAAATTAATTAGTGCTATTTGAAACACATATTATATTTATATATTCTAGTATTGATTAAAATTAATAAAATAACAAAAAAACTACTTTATACATTATTAAATCCCTATTTTAACATGCTAAAATTTGTTTACATACATTCACATTTGGGAATCCCAATTTTAGAACTTATATATATTTCACAATAATAATGATAAAGCATATAGAGGTTTACAATTAGTTTTTGTAGATACCATATGCCACCTTAAAAATAAAAACCAAACCGCAACCATCAGTTTTATAAAAAAATGTTATCAAAGATAGTTGAGAAGCATAAGGTAAGACGAGTACTAGAAATTTACATATTAATTAAGTATTTAAAGCTGAAGATAATGAAATTCTTTCTAAAATACTAATTAATTAAATGGAATTTTACATTAATTGAGTACTATGACGTAAACATCATTTATGACTTCCTAAATATTTTTTTCAGTTTTCCATTGGTAAACTATAAAAAATTAAAGAATGTGATAACATTATGGTAGTTTTATTTCTGATAATATTTCATTATTCACCATAATAAAAACATATTCAGTAGTACAAAGTACTTCGCCCTATATTAGATCAACTGATAGTAAGTACCCTATGTCATAAAAGTCGTTTGGCCCGTCTACCACATGTTTCTCAACATTAAAATTATGATCCTTCCGAACGACATGCTAGTATAGTCACATAAATATTTGGTCAGGCTAAAAAAACAGTAGTTAACCCGTACGATAATACTACACATGATGGTTAAAAACAATGCCTTAATTTACGCAAACAAATTTAATTGCTCCCTTAATTGTTGCAATGCATAACAAAATAATTGATAAGTCATATAAAAACCACTAAAATTTTAATAACTTATAATAAATAAAATATATTAGAATAACATTGAATAATTTTAAAAGTTAAATTAACTTATGAATATAACAAACACAAATTAGTTATAACATAAAGTTGTAGCTTGTAATAAATTTTAAAGCTTAATGATAATTAATAATTCAATTTTGATAAATTAATTATAAGTTGTGAAATTATTGTTATTACCGGTTAGGGATCCGATTTATTTTTATAATTACATCATAATATCTAAACAAATAATAAAAAATTACGTTAATATTTCAATGTTAATAAATAAAAAATATTTGATACTGTTTACTTTTTTATTAGATCCCTGAGTGCATATTAAATTTCAACTAAAAAGTTGAGTTGTTTATTTTCTTTTTAAATATTACTTGCTAAAATTTTGCTCTTTAAATACTTTATTATTCAAGAAAAATATTTACAGCTTTTGCACATTATTTTGTATACTTAATTCGATCGCATTTTTATTAATCATTACAATTTTTCTTTTATCATAAAGTTTTAACTACGAAATTTGAAAAAAACGTAACAGTTTCTGAATAACGAAAAATGTGTCCGCTCATTATTTAATGGTTTATCATGTTTAAGATGACATTTGTTATGCAATCATCATAAATTAAGCGTTTAGTACATTTTTAATTTTAAGTGGACGAATTTTTATTGATGCTCTAGGATATTAAGTAAATTAAAAACAATGTTTCACACCACTAAATTGAAGACGTCTTATACAAACACGTATTTCATTCGTCAATACAATACAATAAATGAATATACATATCTATATTATAATAACTATATTAAGTTAATAAAATACTAAAATAAAGTAATAAAATATGAAAAAAATTTAAGTACCAAAGTAACACAACACACTTGAACATGGAAGAAGCATGATAACATTATCATGACTATTGATTAAATGTTCTTAATCAATAGCATAGTAAATATAAATAAATAAAATCATTAAATTAAAAGATCAATTTTTTTTTAGTAAACAAATAATAATATCACATTTAGTAGCAAATAATACTTATAAAATAACTGTAATCAATAAGTAAATTTAATGAAAATATTAATTGCATTTTTATTTACTAATTGATTTTCACCAGTGTATGTATATGTTAACGTCTACTATTTCACTTAATAAGTATACTATATAAAAAATATAAGTAATGAATAAAGAGAGATTACATTTGTCGTTACCTGATAAACTGAAGTAATTCCAAGGTTAAAATAAACTGGTAGGAAAAAGTATAAAACTAAAGGAAATGCGAGCACCATTCCATATAGTGTCTCCCACATACCACTTCCTCTGTAAAATAACTCGGATGGATATCCTAAAACAAAGCAATAAGTTAAAAACAAATTATTTTATTAAAAAATAAATTTCATATGATTTTGATAAAATACTAGTGGATATTGATAGAGTGAAAAATAATTCTTTTAAAATGAACATACAATGAAAAAAAATTTACTTTAATTTTAATACTAAATAATAGATATCGTATTATATATCCATATAATTATAATAACAAATTATTATTAAATATATTAACTAAGTCATATTTATTACCTAAGAAGACTTTAACGCCCAGAAACCCACGAGCAATGGACAAAAGCATAGCTCCCATCGACACTGATCCTTTGGATGCAAACACATAATCAGCTTTCGTTTTTTCTTTTGGTCCAGATATTTTACTGTATATTACTACACCGATCGACGCACCAATCAGCAGTAGGAAAACTGCATAATCGATTATAATACTATTCATGCTTTGTCAAAACTTATCTGAAAAGTTGTAATAAAAATAATAATAAAAATTCTTTTTGTTAATAAAAAAAAAAAAATATATATATATTAATCATAAAACTTTATTCTTAATATTTAGTGGTAGAACTTAATAATTGTATAAAAAAAAAAACAATTAGTTAGCTAATAGGTTAAAAATTTTACTAAAAAAAATTGAATAAAATTTTACTTTTACGAACTTATTTAATAAGTTGTATCTAATTCTCACATGGAAATTAAATTAAAAAAAAAATATATATATATATAAACACACAAAATTATAATTGAGATTAAAAAAAACAATTATTGAAATGTGTATGTGTATTGAATGAATTGTTTTTTTATATATTTTTTAATAACTTAAAAAGTTATACATTTTAAGTAATACATAGTTAATTACCGTTTTACTTATAAAATAAATGAATACCTTATGTATAAACTGATTATAAACGTCAATTAATTGTGGTTAATTTAAAGTAATCAAAACCAGTCAATCAACAATTAAACAGTATACATTTAAATAATCAAATCTAACCCTTTTAGTACGATTCAATAATAACTAATTTAAAACCAATAAAATGAATGAGTCTATCAAAAAAAAAATTGGAATTACAACTTTTAAATAGTCTTCAAGTACAGTTAAAAATTACACCTTGCGTCTACATTTTTTTGGTTGTTTTGACAGTTTATTTTTTATAATGAGCATTATAACAATAAATTTATTATGTATACATTTTATGTATTATATTATAATACAAACAAGGTTACCATGAATGTCATTTGTTGATGACATTATTCAAAATATTACCTCAACTCACTATTATTGTCATCATTAATTCAACTGAAATGTATAATCCCCATATTTATGTTAAGAATGAATGAAACCAAATTCAGTCATAAAATGTTTAGCTCAATAATACACGTTAACAAAAACGTTTTAAAACATTCAAATAATTTTTACCAATTCAAGAATAGTAATAAGATATTTTTAATTCAATGAACTTTTTATACATTAAAACGTTAGAATGTGGTAATGACAACAAAACACTTGAAAATCCAAACACGTGATAAGGGTCTGTGACTTTTCATATTTTATATTAAAATCTTTTGAGCTAAACACAATTAAATTTTAATACACCGTATGAAAATCATACTATCACTCAATTGCGAAGACCCTATCTTTCATATTTTGAATATACTTATTTGAGCACATACTACAATTTATTGTAACAACAAACAAAAAGTAGTGCTACAATTTGTAAAAGATAAAGTGGTTTAAACATAGGGAATACTCAATTATAGTAATTGCATATATTTGTTGTGTAATTTAAGAAATGCTTGAAATTACCATGTGTTAACATTAGATCACGTGATCAACTAACAATTCTATCGAATAGTACAACTACATCTCAAAGCGACCAATATTATTTGAAATATTTTATTTAGATATGTTAGTTAAAAGAAAATGTACCTTCGTACATTCACAATACACAAACCATTACAATGATACCTTTTTAATAAAAATAAAAATTTACTATTTTCATAAAAAAATACAATGTACTAAAATTTACTGCTAAATGCATTGAGTAAACATGGTATGTTTTTTTCTGTTTACCAAAACTTCTCAACATATCCAACCATAAGAAATTGTTTGATACTAAAGTCGCACATCAAAATGCATATATCTACGCTCAATTAGTAAGTAAATAAATAATTGATGAAATTGTGAAATACTGATTTCTAAAATTAAATACCGAAAACCATCCAAGCAAAATATTATCGTTTTATTAATTTTATGTTTTTTGAAGACAAGAACCATTCACTTAGCTTAAAAAAACACTAATTTGATAACTTCTTCTAAAATATGTTTCAAGGAACCTATATTTAACGTTAAACTGAATGTAGCAAATGAAATGTTAACAAAATAATGACAACACAATTTACTATCAGCTACGCACAGAATAAAATGAGTTATGCCTTATAGTTAAAAATATTTTTGACAAATGAATGTCAATAATAATGATNACAATTTACTATCAGCTACGCACAGAATAAAATGAGTTATGCCTTATAGTTAAAAATATTTTTGACAAATGAATGTCAATAATTATGATAATAATAATGAAAGGGCTTTACGTCCGTTGAGTTTAGCAATAAACATAATAAATCCAACACATCGAATATATTATTTTTATTTCAAAGAAACAGTGTTTGTTCGAATGTTATCACTTTTAAAACCTTAAATGATTGAAAATAATGCATAGGTAACCACAATTATTATATGATATGGGTATATGCTTAAAGTATATATATATAGTTTATATTCTATATAAACTGAAATGCTGATACCACTAAAAATATCATAAGTTGATGATACATATTTATTAAGCATAATCACAAATCTTTCAAAGTATTTTACAAGAGCTAAAAGTTGATAAGAGCAAATGCGTAGCATTATTTAATTTTTTTGGTCTATGTTACAATCATTGATTTAACATATATTAAATTAATTCCATTCTCATTGTTAATAGCTTTATCCGTTAATAAATTTTCAATACACCTATCTGATAAGAGAACTTTTTAAATAATTGAAAATCAAAGCTAAGAATAAGATCAACCTTTTCATTCTAAAGTGACTAGTCATCAAATTTTTACATAAAAAAAACTTTAGTCTTTTATTTGATTTAAATTAAATGAATTTTTATTTTTAGAAATAATTACTCAGTAAATAAAAAATTATATTTTATTACAGACTGATTGTATTATTATTTTCTGTATAACCTTGACATTAATGATGAACTGATATAAGTTTTAATTGTAATTACCGGCCGGTTAATTAAACATTCGTATTCAGACTTTTTTAGCATTCATAAAATACAATAAAGTATTGAATATTAAAAGATGATGAAATAATTTTTCTTTTGTACCAGCCCATATACCACGATAAGATAAACATTTAACACTAAAAGTTTTTATATTAAAGCTAATACAATCATTTCATTTAAGATAACGCGACTAGGGACAAATAAAAGACGGTAACTATTGTCTAATTAATTATTTGTTATTGTAGTTATTTAACGCATAAAACTAAATCTTATTACCCAAAGACATTAACTCAAACAGACATTGTTTTTAACTAATTATAATGGACAAAAAAGAATAGTACTGTACTAAATGAGTAGCTGGTTCTTTATGACTAATCATGAACACACTCAGTAGTTATTGTTCATCTAAGCACATTTGTGCTAAAGTAAATATACCGTTGCTAAAATGAATGTATACATTTATTTTTAATTATTTTATAATATAAAAATTTTAGTGAATTAGTTACTTTATGAAAATTAATTTCATGTTAAGCTATTCCAAAGTTTAGACTATATAACACATCTATTATACATTTATTACAATAATATTTTTATTAATATGCTTTATTGTATTTTATGACTCAAAGAAAATTAAAATAGTTAAAATAATAAATAAATAAATATTAGAAAATCTTGATCAAAGATTTTGTTTCAAAACGTAAAAATAAAAAAATAAATGCACAACATGCGATAATTGAAGAGTTAGTAATCATAAAATGAGTTAGAATTTACTTACATGCACTTTTTGAAATTAAAGTGTGTAATCAAAATGAAGAATATAATAAAATATATGAGTATGCAGCATATCAATGAAAAACTAATGTTTAAATGTATAGTTTAAATGTAACACTTATTAATTTCTAATGAAATTTACACATTATCTATAAAAAAAGTTGAATCATAAAGGAAAAACAGTCTTCCCATTAAATATCGAAAGTTTAAATATTACACAGTTAAAAATAATGTTTTTACATCGCAAAATATTAAAATATTTTTAATATAATATATTTGTGTTATACAAATACATGAAAAATTATTCGAGAATTTCTATTTCTACATGGATGTAGTCTCGTTAAAGCTATACATCTTAAAATAAAATATTAATAAATAATTATAAAAAAATAGTACATTATAATGTTATCATACTAATTTGATATTGGTAATTTAAAATTAAGATTTCTCAAAGAAATATCAAATTGTATAAATATTTTTATTCTTAAGTTTTAGCACGTTCCTCGGTAATATGTGTATAGTCACGTGACAAATTTTACAACTACGTTTAGAAATTGTTTTTTATAAAATTAATTAATAATTAAGTAACTCATTTCAATAGTCTTACTATTGACTCATTAGATTGTATGGACGAGTTTTTAATAGTTGAAATTAGCAGTTTATCTATTAAAGAAGAATGATATTACCTTATAAATACAGGAATTACATGGTTTAGTACAATTTATCTCAAATTGAAATGATAAGGGCTTTTTTTGACCTAAATAATGAATACAAGCTACGCAAATATCATAGAAAAATAATTAATACACAAGTTTTTACTTCGAATTCAATGGCACTGCATCATTATCTTTTTGATTTACTATTAAATATTCTCAATGTAATAAATATTCAAATGATAAAGAGAAATAAATTAATAAAAAAAATTTTGTTGAAAAACTAACATATTTTTTTATGACCCTAATTATAATTTTACGATTACTCAATACACTAACTGAGACATAAACTAAGAGCAGTTAATTGAATGTAGTGATAATTTGTATAACTATAGCATTTTTCTCGATAATATTAGAAAATAAGTTATTTAGTATAAACTTTTTTGATATTTCACAGAGATACAGACTTACAATTAGAGTTTTATTTTCGCCATAAATCCCACGCAACATGATAATGTGCAAATATTTCAATATTTTTTTTACTCAAAAATTATAACGTCAAATGTCTGTTGAAGAACGTAAACACCATTGCACATATTTTATTTACATACGTCATAGTTTTGAATGAATAACATTATAATCACATGTAATATGTATCATTTTGTAATTGAAAAAAAAATGTAAGCATTAATTCAAAATTAGAAGTGGGGGTTGTATTGCAAAAATATAGAGGAGTTTCTGTACAAAAAACAGACTTCTATGTTAGCTGCATCAGGCTTACATGCCATTACGATAACACATCCGGTAGACAGCAAGTACACTATTTCAGTTATGCAAAATAGAACAGTTTTTTCTTTTTGAAATTAATTATGATAAACTTACAATGCAAAGACCATGACTTATTTTGTTAGAAATAAAAATGCAGGTTTCAACCATTGTCATATGGATTCAGAATCATGAAATAAACATAACCCCTTTGCTGAACAAAGCATGATAGATAATAAAAAACAAAGCTTTAATAATTATCAATAGTGAAAAGAAACAGTATAAAAAAAAAATAAGTTTGTACCAAGTTTTTCTTATCTTATTGCACAAATTGATATGAAATATAACGCGTTTATTTTTAAAACGGGTCGTGTTATGATTAGAAATTATTATTAATTTTCGAGTAAAATACTTAATAATTAATTTTTATACATAAGTTTTGCAACATTATGCAATAATGTTTCTGTATAAAATATAACTTAAAACATTGCACAATTTTTAGAACAAATTTTAAAATATTATTTGGGGATTCATATGCTAATTTCAAATAAAAAGAGTTCCATTATGTTAACAAGAAGAGTCACCGAATAATTTTTATACTGTCTAGTGTTTATTTTTCACTGTCGATTACTAAAGTAATGACTAAATAATTAGTCAGAGCGATTAAAATTCGCGTACAAATGTCGAGTGTCGATCAACTGTTGAACTGGTCATGTCAACGCACATGAGTAAAGCCATCACATTCACGATAATTATTATCATATATCGACAGCAGACAATGACTATTACAGCGTTGTGTGTAATACGCTACAGTACAGTTGTGTTGGGTAAACACAATAAACGGTGTAATTGTCGTTGGCCGCAAAACGTTATGAGAACAACTAGACAAAACAACCACGCGAATTTCGTTATAAAAACAATGAAACAAAAACTGGTAATGATTTATGAATTTACACGTGGCTGTCCACTGAGAAATCTTGACCATACAATTATTAAAATGAGTTTTATCGTTAACCGTGCAACTGTAATACAGTGTACGGTACTTCTAAATTGACTTAACATCTTGGTAACGATAATGAAGTATAGTTGTAAAAGGCGTTTGCATTTGGCTAATTGCCGACCAGTTTATTGCCACTTGTTTGTAGCGTGCGAAATCAACGCGAAACCAATTCCTTTTTTGTATAAGATAATTTCATCTTTTTTTTTTCAAATGAAAATAAATTGCGACTGACATTCCGGAAAATCTATTATTATATTTTAAGGTCACTTTTCATAATGAGATAAGAATAATAGTGAAAATATCTGTCAATATAAGTTATAATTAGTGTATTAACTGTCACAAAACAAGTTTTGAAACTTGGACGAATTAAATGAGAACAAATGAAAGTCAACATACAACAAAATTTTGCCTTAGACTACATCCATGGTTGTCTTTTGATTCATAAAAAAAAAAATTAATGTTTTTTTGTCATTAAGTCTTTACATTTGGTTGCTTATCAAAGCGAGGGTAATATATTGAGTAATTTTTTTAAGTTATTAAAATAAAACTTTCAAAGTTTTTTTTTATTTCATTAATAGTAACGAATTCTTTAACAACCTAATGATGCCATTGATGGTAATTTGAAAAAAAAATGAAATAGTACCAATTTGCAAAACGCGCGTGGAGAAAATCACGTAGTAACACAACTGTTCATAAGTGAATGTAGAAAGTGCAGGGACAACGTGTTAAACAATTTATTTAAAATATTGAATCTTTAATTGATTAGCCCCACCCAAAACACAACGAAATTCCTAAAATAATTGAATTTAGAGTCTCATAAAATCACAACTACATCGTAGAATAACAATTATAAATCTGTTAATTGACAGAACTTTTTAAAATCCGACAATGGCTATATCTAACTAATAGTTAAAAAAAAAAAATGTTTAATTTTGCAAAATGGAATGCATTAAATGAAAAAATAAATATTAAAAATAATCTTAAAGACATACATATTAAAGAGGCCAAGCACCAAACATGTACCAAATTCAAAATGCTAAATTTATCTTTATATAACTTTATCTTTTATTATTTCCATCGAGCCAAAGTTTCACACACTTTTGTTGTTTAATCCATTTATTATTAAAGACAGAATTAAAATTGAAAATGAATAAAGTAAATATAAAGTGATATTATTTTTATTACTATAAATTACTTTCTATAAACACATACTAATCCAGCAAATGACATTTTACTATGATTAATAAGTAAACAAATAAGGTAATTTGTGAATCGAGTATATCATTATCATATCTAAATAACTCTTAATAATTCATATCGTTAACTCTAACAAAGAAATATTCAAGAAATTCATCAACTCAAATCCTAAAATTTCCTAATATTGGTTATTGGAAAAACATTAAATCTTTTACTCAAATACAAGTTTTGTAAAATCTGTTTTGTTTTAATTGACTAGAGATTTTCTTGATACATATATATTATAAAAGAAGTCATGAAGAAAACTGTCGAAAAGTATAACAATTATTCTATAAGTTAAATAACAACTTTATTTATTTATTTTTTTAATGCTGACATGGATGCGCATATTTAGACAAAATACTAATATACTAATTACTGCATTTCTACAACGCATGAACATCTGTAGAATATCGTAAGATAAAAAATGACAAGTTACAAAAACTACTAATTTAAAATTTGCAAACCCAATAATAATATTTTTTATTACTATTAGGAATTATTTACAATAGAACAATACTAAAACAAATTTACTAGGTTCAGTAAAAAAATAATTTAAATTATTAGATAATTACAATTGTCACTTCGATTAACTAATACTATCTATCAGACACTTCATGTACATTTTTCACAGAGTAACTTAATATTGATATATTTTAGTAAGAAAAAGGTTAAGAAAAAAATGTAAGCATAACTCGATAATTTTTATTTAACTAATATGAAATCAAATAGTGTACCTTACGTAGAAAAAAGGCTGGAATTTGCAACACTGCATTCCAAGATACATTTTTATGATGTTTACAAGATAATTTTAAAATCGTAATCTAAACATTTTTTTTTTGAGTTATAAATAAAAATAAAAACACGATTATAGTATATATATATATTATAAACAAATATATATATATATATATATATATATATATTGATGTGTATACGGTTTTAATATTACCAATATTAATACACATATATTTTTGTTTACTAACATGTATTTAACTTTTTAATAATTTAAAAAAAAAAATCAATAGTTATTATGTGTTACTTCAATCATATTATTAACCTTTTAGATGTTACATTAACAATAAAAAGATAAAAACAGTATACTAAAAAAATGAGTATAAAAGACCTCAATAGTTAAAAATTGCAATATTTTAGGTAAACAACAATGTTACATGCTAATGATTTTGGTACTTAATAAAATTTAAGTCCTTGATTTATTTATTTTTAAACGACCTACAAAAGTAATATGCAGAGTTTGGTTAGTAATCACAACTATCAAAATCTGTTGAGTTTTTATTTTATAAATTGACAAGTAGAGACAAAACTTGTCAAAATATTTTTGTAATTTAAACATTTTCGCTAGTAATTCATAATACAAATATTTGTTTCAATCTAAAAATAGATAACCTCATGCTATTGGCAATGAATGTAAACAAATTATTTAAGTTCACAAAATAATTAAGTTTCCTACTAACTCTATCTTCAAATCTATTTATAATCAAAATAACAAGAACAATTTATAGATATTTATCTTGAAGAATGATCGATTGTATCCAATATATCACATAACAATGTTATAAGTTGATCAGTTATGAATTGGCCATTAGTTTCATAAATAATTACTTTTTTAATTTATGTTTAGTTTACACTAAACATCAACTATTTCAATGAAAAAAATCTTTAAAAAAAGAAATGAAAAATATAATATTTATTTGCGATAAAATTTTAATTTATCTAATAGTCTTATAATAATAATTTAGCTACAGCTTAAATTATACAAGCAAGTAAAGCATGTTGATAATAGTATTTGTTATCACTTTTTTAATTTTGTTTAATTAGTTCAATAGTTAAGTACAAATACAGGTTTAAATAACAATATTATTTAATAGTATAATTTTTGAATATTAAATATTACTATTATGTATATAAATAAAAATAAAATTGAAATGAATACCTTTAAATTGCGACGTTTTCAAGAGTGACTTTTTCTTACAACTATATATAAAAATATAAATTGTAAAATTGAGCAAGTATTTTATTATTGGTGAAATAGCGTTTTTGTATCCTATTCAAAATCAGTTGTTCTAAATGTCTTCTAAACAATTATTTTACTTAATTCGTTTAAAATTAATTTACTTAAAATGGATTACTAACTAAAGAAGTTAAAAACTTTTATTAATAAAAAATACAAGCTATCAATTGTTCAGTACATATATTAAAAACAAATTTATTCCAAGTAAAAAAACCACACGGATAAATAAAAAGTGTATGTCGCGAAGGAAGATAACTAACGTAGTGTTGCTTGCGTATAGCGCAACATGTGAACTGAATTAAACGTGCGGCGATTTGGTAGACAAGATGAGTGTAATGTGCCGGTGTGCCTATATACTATTACTAGATAACGTTATCATTATATTGTGTTGAATAAGGCGTTGGTTGTATATTAGGTATTGCAACTCTTATGAAAATCATTCGTTACAAAATGAAACAATGATGTAAAAAACATGTATTTATAATGTCGTAGAATAAAATATATATGGATATTTAATCGTAAAAGTCTATAGAAAAAAATATTTTACAAAATATCTGTAAATTTAAGCCCTCCTTGCTTTTGAATAATAAACTGACTTGACGATTTTGGAAATATAGACCCCCACCTTCTTCTTCTTTATTTGTGATAATATCGTTTAAACTTTTATTATTTTCTTGCATGATTTCCTCATTGAGTTTACCTTATATGTAAAATACACATCAGTATTTATAATTTAAGATCAATCGGCAAAAAAAGTCATATTTTTTTAATACATTAATTATTATTATTACTATAATTTAATAATTATTTAAATAAAAATATTATTGTATTACGCTACAATAGATAGCTTCATTGTTACAGTAAATTCGTCGACAGTACTTTGCTATGATCGCATATACGAAGCATTTGATTGGCCAAGATCCAAAAAACTTTATATATTTATAGAATAATATTATTTTTAATAATTGTTACAAAGAAATTTCGTGGTCGAAGGTGGTATTAAATTTTCAAAAAATGTATTTACACGCATCAAGTCCTCCAAACATGTAGGCGTGTGCCTATAATTAAAATCATTATAAAAATAATTTACCCTTTATTTTAAGAGGTGAAATTAACATTAACAATATGACATAGTCATTGTCATATTAATAATGACAGTTTTATAGTACTTGAATATTTTTGTTGAGATTATTTAAAAAAAAATTAAGAATGAATACACATAAATATTTTTTCGGATAATTAAAAAAAAATATTGTGTTCATCTATTATAGAATTACTCTAATTAAATTTATAATTTTTGAGTGATCAAGCCTTTTTTTAGCATAAATTGACCAAAAATAATAATGTTTACTTTGATCAAAACAATATATATATATAGTGAATTTTATACTGAAGACATTATTGCAGTAAATAATTAAGGTTTGTGTCTTGATATCAATATATGCAAATTTATAAAAAAATTTTTTTATTAATTTTTGACATAAGATATTTCATAAAATTAGTTGATAGTAGCATTGGTTACAACATTTAAAATCACATTTCAAAAGGTACAATTCTGTGGCTCTTTTACAAAAGTTGATATGTCAGCGTATGATAGAGAACTGAGAGAGGTTTTAAAATGGTCATTAATGAGAAAAGAAGTCCCGAATAGGTATATTAATATAATAGTGGATATGTATGATTGTAGCACTTGTACCAGGGTAAAAAGTGTGGGCAGAGACACAGAAGATTTTAGGGTAAGAGTAGGAGTGCAATAAAATTCTACTTTAAGCCCTTAATTATTTTCTATAGTGATGTATGAGATTACTAAAGAAATACAAAGAAAGGTACCGTGGTACATGTTGTTCAATATAGTGTTATTAGGAGAAAATAGAGAAAAAATGAATCAAAGGCTAAAAGTATGGAGGTCAGCTCTTGAAGAAAATATATTAAGAATAAGTTAGAGTGTGGCAGAATATATAGAGTACGAGTTTGACAAAGGAGAACACAAGAAAGGTGAAATGAGGATATCAGTGACAATAAACGAGAACGTATTAGAAAAGGTGAAAAATTTTAAGTATTTAGGATCAATTGTACAAAATTGTATTGACGATGATGTAAGACACAGGATTAAGTGCGGGTGGTTGAAGTGGAGGAAGCGTCTGGTGAGTTATGCAATAAAATAATTCTAATGAGGCTGAAAGGTAAGTTCTATAAGACTGTAATGAGACCAGCTATGATGAATAGTTCAGGGTGTTGAGCAGTTGACGAGAGAATAAAGCAGAGAATGAGTGTAGTAGATATGAGAATGCTTAGATGGATGAATGGAGTGACTAACAATATAGGATAAGGAACGAATATATAACAGGAAATATAGGTGTAGCGTCAATCGTAGATAAAATAAAAATTGACTTAGATGGTTTGGTCATGTTATAAAAAAAGAGGAATCGGAAACTAGAAGAACAGTTGTGGAAATGAATTTTGAGTGAAGATGAAGTAGAGAAAATCCAAAAATAGATGGAGGGATGTTATTGAATGCAATATGAGGACGGCTGATATGTGCATAAATGATGTGGAAGATCGGGTCAAGTTTAGGATAAGGATGGCAGACTCTAAGCAATAAATATAAAGAATAAAGAAGACTAACATGTATACGTGTACCTTGACTTATCTAAGTATTTAACATTAATTATTAGATATGATATAAATAGAAATGATCCTATTATTTATTAATAATTTAATTAAATTAAATGATAGTAAAACTATAAGGAAATATATAATAAAAATTATATTAATGAAATTATTATACACTCTGCGTTGTATTGGTTCTTTTTTTAATTTCTTTATAAATAATTTTTTTAGTATTCAGATGAATAAAATTGGTTTTAAAATTTTTTTTTATAAAAAAACTTTAAATATAATTTATGCATTGATATTTTAAAATGATGAAATATTTGTTGAATCACATGTGGTAAAAATAAAAATAATAATTCCCTAACAGGTTGGCTGCTCCTAGACTTCTTTCAAAGTCTCATAGGTTTGTCTCATGGCACCACACATTTTTTAAGCAATTTATTCAAATTTAATTTGAAACATAAATTGTGTCTAACACGTGCAAAATATATATTAACAAACATGTTAATTACTATACCTATGTTTATTGTTTTTAGACTTAATACTGACATCTTAATTAGGGTATCTGATCGTTATAGGTAGATTTCAACAAAATGAATTAATTTACAAATTAAGTGAAATTAAATATAAGATCTTTAACCAAAATGTTAAATTAATCCAAAAAACAAATTGGGATTTCATATAGAACATTTTGTTGTGGTGAATTTTTTAAATAAACTCTCAAAGCGAATTTGAGTAAATTGTCGGACCTGAGATGAGATGAGATTTTAAAAGCAAATTTGAATAACTCGATAAAAAAAATTGACGGTTAATCGGTTAATTAGCTAATTTAATATACTAATAATTATAAAAAAAAGTTGAATGTTAAATTTCTTATTGCTTAATATCTCTTTTTGAATTAAACTTTTCTTTTGACAACTTTTTTTGGTAGTTCATATACTATATACTATCAATGGTAAGTATTCTTAAAAAGGGAAACTTGTATTTTGATAGTTTGCGTTTACTAAAATAATTTAACAACAACAAAGAAAACAATCTGCAGAGGTCTAAATCCCAGCTTTTAATAAATTAACTAATCAATTTTTCTAATAGTGCTATAAAATAATTATTTTTTTAGATTATTATCCTTATCATTAAACTAATGGTCGTAAGACATCTAACTTGCTCAGTCTACTCAATGTGCTTAACCTACCTTTTGCTTTAATTAAATAATAAAATAAAATTACTTTCTTTTCGTGACATCTTAAAATAAATTATGTACAATAAGAAATTTATTTATTATTTCATTACAATTAATATCTAACCTAATGATAGTTTTTATTCAATGCAATTTAAGGTTATGTAAAAGACAATAACTTATATGAATATCAGTTTCCGAACAACATAATTAACAAAAAAAAGGTGATTTGGAATATTGAGTGAAATTAAAGATTTCAAATATTTTAATAAAGTTTCAAGTAGATATCAATTTAAATTCTTGATAATAGACAAAAGTAAACTTAACATATGTATTTAATATATGAATTCAATATTTAGTTCAAATCGTTTAATACATAACCAACAACTTAAGAAAGAAAGAATGTTAATTTAAAATATTTTATTTTTGTCTAGAAAATTTTTGTTATTGAACAAACATTAAATACTCACGTAGTCAAAATTTCAACACAAAAGCCTCTAAATACAAAAAAATTTTACGCTAATGATAGATTTGTGTAAACAAAAAATCATGTTAGGATCACGTGATGAAGATAAATGTAAACCTTTTGTATTCAAACATAAAAATATCTTTGGATTAAATATACAGAGTGATTTTTTTAACTCTAGACATCCAATTCGTCTTAAAATAATAATTACCATATAGATAAGGATGTCAACTTTATTTTTGCAAATGACAGCAAAATAATTAATTTGTTTATGTATTAGATAATGATCTAATTGGAAAAATATTTGTCTATAACAATTTTTGGACTAAAATTTCTAAAGTTATTAACATTTTTATAACTAAGCGGGAGAAGGAGTGAGGTAAAGAAATGTATAGTAATAAAAATTGCAGCACTCGCGTGATCAACTGCAGTCATTATTTTAAATTGTTAATAACTTTTAAAATACATATCCAAAAGTTGTTATCTTCTTAATAGAATCTTTTATGTTCTTAATTAGATCATTTTTCATTTTATAATTAGGTTACATATGTCTGTTGCCATTAAAAAAAATTAAGTTAACACTCCTATAAGATATAAGGGATGAATATAAAATATATTTTTTAACAGATAAATAACTAATAAAAACAAAAAATAAATTCATAAATTATTATTTTAAGAGACATTGGGTGTATAGTCTTAAAATAATTACCCTGTATAATAACTATATAGGGTTATAATTGTTATAACTCTTAATATTCGAATCTTGGTAATATTGTTTCAATAAAATAAACAATGTAAGCCCAGTTTAGTATTAGATAGGCAAATTAATACTATAATCTCCCAAAAAATTAATTTATCAGTATTGTTTTATTTTGCATAGACAAATAATGTTTGAATGGTTTTATAAACTTAGATAGCAGCAGTTATAATTTATAACTAGTATAAACAGTCATTACCTTATAACATATAATTTATGATGAAATAATTATTTCATCATACTTTTGAAATAAATTTCTTGAATAGTTAAGACACAGAAACATTCAGTGTTTA